AATTTAAGTTCTAATTAGCCAATGAAACAAACAAAATAAAAATAAAAACGCATCTGTTTGTGCATCAACTCGTCAAATCCGTCAAACATCAACTCAAAATTTGCTTGGTCAGCACGAAATAAGGAGAACATGTTATTTCAGAGCTCAACATAAGAGCTAACACTGTATTTTTATTTTCCAATTTGGCCATTGCCTTCTTGGTCCTTTCTTAGGGCACAAAATTAATAGTTTTGTTTTTTTTTTTTACCAAAAAATAATTCTATTATTTTAATACAATAAAACTTTTGAGAAAAGTGATAGCACGATGTGACATTAAACCTGAAGATGGGAGCAACTAACTAACTATTTGAACAATGATTAATTAGGATATTAGGTCACCACGATTAAGTATAATCTTTCTTAACGTGCCTTGATCTTTCTTATGATATATGATTATATTCAGAGCCAAAGGTCTGGAATCTCTCATCATGATTCATGCTGGCTTCTCCAATGCGTGTGCATGACTTAATGAGCTAAATTGTATTAAAAGTAAAAAAAAAAGGAACAAGGTGTCTTGTTTGTTTTTTGGAAAATGCTAGAGGCATCACACCTCCAACCACACTCCTCTCTCGTTACAGTGCATTGGGGCCCACGTGAAATTTTTTTAAAATTCTCATATGGGTCCCAGTGTACTGTAGCGAGAGAGGAGTGTGGTTGGGGGTGTGACTGTAGCGCCTCCCTTGTTTTTTTAACTCTCTTTATCTCTCTCTCTCTCTCTCTCTAAAAATAAATAAAAATTTAAAAAAAAAATATTGAGAACCCTGTCAGCTCATTTGTGCCGATCACAATCGTCAGCCTTGTTGGTTTTCAATGTGTAATGCAAGAAAAAATCGGTGTTATCATAATTTTATAATTTTAAGACGAGGCAATGAACACAAACAATTGTGTGAAGAGATTTGGTAAATAATCAAGGGCTAATTTCGTAAAACCATCTTAATCTTAGGATGAGTTGCACGTTACATCATGAACTTCGAAACTTTTAAGAAATAAACCTCCTTAAACTTCAAGTAGTTCCACGGAACTTTCTCAACCTGCAAACGGAGCTAAAAAGGGTTATTCAAATGGCTAAAATATCCTTTTTTTTTAACAAACAATCCCCCTCTGTTAGTAGAGAATGCCAAGTAAATTTCTTTTGTGTCAGGGGTAAAATTGTCCATTTTCTGCTACCGGAGGAGCGCGCTTCCTCTAATTTTCCGGGGGTTAGAAGTTATAACGTTGAAAGTTGTGAGAAATTATCCACAATAAAAGCCGTACATATCTTTGACCCCCTCAATTAGATTACAGTCCTATTAGAGAATCCCTAATTAATTCTCTAATCTCAGATTAATCTAATGAGATACCTAGTTTCAGGGAAGCTTCCTCTTAACTATCTCCGTTAAGTCTCAACTATATCGATCGACCACCAAAAAGAATATTTTAGGAAAAGGTTATTTAGATTTCAGCCCCTCCCATCTTCAATGACGTCAGGATAGTCCATCAGATTTCCCAAATTGATCATAACTCCTTCAGAGCCTAACGGGTTTTGAAATTTAGTCCCTCCATAACTAAAATACCCTTCAATTGTATTTTCCTCCCAAAACCCCTCTACCCCTCCCATCTTCAATGACGTCAGGATAGTCCATCAGATTTCCCAAATTGATCATAACTCCTTCAGAGCCTAACGGGTTTTGAAATTTAGTCCCTCCATAACTAAAATACCCTTCAATTGTATTTTCCTCCCAAAACCCCTCTAGTATTTTGTTCATTGAGATTACCAAATTGCGATGCCAATTAAGATTCGAGGCGGTGACGAGCAGTTTCAGAAGCACGAGGGAGTAAAATGAAATTATTGAAGACTCGAGGGCGTTTAGTTCCTGTTTTTGGAGGGAGAAAGTAGTGAGAAAGTTACAAAAATGTTAGATTTTTGGCCGCTTTCTCCGAAAATCACCTCTTTAAAAGACGATTTTGGGGAAAGCTGTTAAAAAACTGACATTTTTGACAGCTTTCCTCACTTTTACAGCTCCAAAAAACCAATCCAGACGGCACCTTTTAACTAATAAAAAACAACAGCAAAAGTAACGCCTTTTTAGCTCCATTTTCTCACTCTCCGTCGCTATCTCAGACATAGACAGCTCGCCGGCCGTGTGGCTTTGGCGCTATCCTCCTTATCGGATCTTCACCCGCTTCTCCGCTGACCCGACCCGTTACCGACCCTCTCTTTTCATCCATCTGCAGAGAGAGAGAGGGGGAGAGATCAGAAATTGATGGTGAGATCTCAGTGATTGACGCTGGAGAAAGGGGGAACACCGGGGAGCTTGATATGGTAAGATCTGATCACCTCAAATTCCCTAGAGAAATTTGAACTATTTGAAAATTTTGGTTTGTAGTAGAGATTACTCGATTTGTGTTTGAAAATTTTACTTGATAATTGCGCTATCACCTATTATGTGGGTAATTCAAAGATTAGAGATGGGTTTACGTTTTGAGGACCAATTTTGAGGGTGGAGAGATATTTTGCAAATTTGTGTGTGTGAGAATAACTTTGGATTGATTGAGAGCCTAAACAAACAGGTTTAGGTATATATAGAACTTACAAAACGAACCGGGTCGAAAACCTGAAAGCCCAGCCTAAAACAGCATCGGTCGACCGGCACGGTCGACCGCGATCAATTCCGGTCGACCGGCCCGGTCGACCGACCAGCTCCCAGCAGAAAACCCAAAACTCCAGAGAACCCCTCGGTCGACCGCACCGGTCGACCGACCACCTTCCTGACGCACAGTAAGCTTTGTGCACGAATGCGGTCGACCGGACCGGTCGACCGCCGCCTGTTTTGCCTGATTCTTCTGAGTTTCTGTAATTTCTTCAATTTAAGTTCTAATTAGCCAATGAAACAAACAAAATAAAAATAAAAACGCATCTGTTTGTGCATCAACTCGTCAAATCCGTCAAACATCAACTCAAAATTTGCTTGGTCAGCACGAAATAAGGAGAACATGTTATTTCAGAGCTCAACATAAGAGCTAACACTGTATTTTTATTTTCCAATTTGGCCATTGCCTTCTTGGTCCTTTCTTAGGGCACAAAATTAATAGTTTTGTTTTTTTTTTTTACCAAAAAATAATTCTATTATTTTAATACAATAAAACTTTTGAGAAAAGTGATAGCACGATGTGACATTAAACCTGAAGATGGGAGCAACTAACTAACTATTTGAACAATGATTAATTAGGATATTAGGTCACCACGATTAAGTATAATCTTTCTTAACGTGCCTTGATCTTTCTTATGATATATGATTATATTCAGAGCCAAAGGTCTGGAATCTCTCATCATGATTCATGCTGGCTTCTCCAATGCGTGTGCATGACTTAATGAGCTAAATTGTATTAAAAGTAAAAAAAAAAGGAACAAGGTGTCTTGTTTGTTTTTTGGAAAATGCTAGAGGCATCACACCTCCAACCACACTCCTCTCTCGTTACAGTGCATTGGGGCCCACGTGAAATTTTTTTAAAATTCTCATATGGGTCCCAGTGTACTGTAGCGAGAGAGGAGTGTGGTTGGGGGTGTGACTGTAGCGCCTCCCTTGTTTTTTTAACTCTCTTTATCTCTCTCTCTCTCTCTCTCTAAAAATAAATAAAAATTTAAAAAAAAAATATTGAGAACCCTGTCAGCTCATTTGTGCCGATCACAATCGTCAGCCTTGTTGGTTTTCAATGTGTAATGCAAGAAAAAATCGGTGTTATCATAATTTTATAATTTTAAGACGAGGCAATGAACACAAACAATTGTGTGAAGAGATTTGGTAAATAATCAAGGGCTAATTTCGTAAAACCATCTTAATCTTAGGATGAGTTGCACGTTACATCATGAACTTCGAAACTTTTAAGAAATAAACCTCCTTAAACTTCAAGTAGTTCCACGGAACTTTCTCAACCTGCAAACGGAGCTAAAAAGGGTTATTCAAATGGCTAAAATATCCTTTTTTTTTAACAAACAATCCCCCTCTGTTAGTAGAGAATGCCAAGTAAATTTCTTTTGTGTCAGGGGTAAAATTGTCCATTTTCTGCTACCGGAGGAGCGCGCTTCCTCTAATTTTCCGGGGGTTAGAAGTTATAACGTTGAAAGTTGTGAGAAATTATCCACAATAAAAGCCGTACATATCTTTGACCCCCTCAATTAGATTACAGTCCTATTAGAGAATCCCTAATTAATTCTCTAATCTCAGATTAATCTAATGAGATACCTAGTTTCAGGGAAGCTTCCTCTTAACTATCTCCGTTAAGTCTCAACTATATCGATCGACCACCAAAAAGAATATTTTAGGAAAAGGTTATTTAGATTTCAGCCCCTCCCATCTTCAATGACGTCAGGATAGTCCATCAGATTTCCCAAATTGATCATAACTCCTTCAGAGCCTAACGGGTTTTGAAATTTAGTCCCTCCATAACTAAAATACCCTTCAATTGTATTTTCCTCCCAAAACCCCTGTATTTTGTTCATTGAGATTACCAAATTGCGATGCCAATTAAGATTCGAGGCGGTGACGAGCAGTTTCAGAAGCACGAGGGAGTAAAATGAAATTATTGAAGACTCGAGGGCGTTTAGTTCCTGTTTTTGGAGGGAGAAAGTAGTGAGAAAGTTACAAAAATGTATTTTGTTCATTGAGATTACCAAATTGCGATGCCAATTAAGATTCGAGGCGGTGACGAGCAGTTTCAGAAGCACGAGGGAGTAAAATGAAATTATTGAAGACTCGAGGGCGTTTAGTTCCTGTTTTTGGAGGGAGAAAGTAGTGAGAAAGTTACAAAAATGTTAGATTTTTGGCCGCTTTCTCCGAAAATCACCTCTTTAAAAGACGATTTTGGGGAAAGCTGTTAAAAAACTGACATTTTTGACAGCTTTCCTCACTTTTACAGCTCCAAAAAACCAATCCAGACGGCACCTTTTAACTAATAAAAAACAACAGCAAAAGTAACGCCTTTTTAGCTCCATTTTCTCACTCTCCGTCGCTATCTCAGACATAGACAGCTCGCCGGCCGTGTGGCTTTGGCGCTATCCTCCTTATCGGATCTTCACCCGCTTCTCCGCTGACCCGACCCGTTACCGACCCTCTCTTTTCATCCATCTGCAGAGAGAGAGAGGGGGAGAGATCAGAAATTGATGGTGAGATCTCAGTGATTGACGCTGGAGAAAGGGGGAACACCGGGGAGCTTGATATGGTAAGATCTGATCACCTCAAATTCCCTAGAGAAATTTGAACTATTTGAAAATTTTGGTTTGTAGTAGAGATTACTCGATTTGTGTTTGAAAATTTTACTTGATAATTGCGCTATCACCTATTATGTGGGTAATTCAAAGATTAGAGATGGGTTTACGTTTTGAGGACCAATTTTGAGGGTGGAGAGATATTTTGCAAATTTGTGTGTGTGAGAATAACTTTGGATTGATTGAGAGAACGATTTATTTTAAATTTTATACATTGGGTAATGGACCCTTAAAGGTGTAAAGAGGCATTAGTTAGCTTGGAACTGTCTCTCGGATGCAACTGAATCATTGCAACTGTATTGCATCCAACTACAGTTGGAGCAGTTTGGTTCAATTTGAAGAAAAAAAATCTATAACTTCAAGCTACCAAGCAGCCCGTAAGTAGGCGTTAATTTTGTATATAGATGAAAAGAAAATTATACCCAGTGTTAACATAATGTTGAAAGCTTGAACTTTTGGATGATTATTTGGTGAGAGAACATGAAAATGTTCTTCATTCTAGGCCACACAAACTCCACGTCGATCATCTAGAGTTGGAATCTTAGTAGAACTGTGATTTCATATTTTTCTTCTTTCTTCCTGATATTGCATTTTAGAATGGAGTTGAAGCCTGTTGGTGAAGAGTCAACACAATTGTCATACTTGAGGATCAATGTTTACTGTACTTGTTGCTAATCATGATTGAATAGTGTATTTGGTTATATCTTTGGATATTTATGTCCGTGTGACTCATATTCAGATAAAAAATTAGAAGCAACTACCGTTGTGTGGCATATGTTTAATTTTGTGCCCTTCGCATTTAAAGAACGTTTATCTTCGTTGTGAGTGATTGTTTATTTGCAAACTATTTCCTTGCATTTATAGGTTGCATTGGAAGATCATGTTTGCTATTTGCGTGGCCTGGAAAAAGGAGAAAACAAAAGAACACATCTGAAAGTGAAAAAATGAAAAAGAAAATACAAATGGATGCATGTTCAATTATATTTTCATTTTCTAGATCACCATGTTATTTCGTTCATTTAGCTTTTCATTTTGAATCTTTGACCTTTAAAGTATTTTGACTGTTTGTATTTTTGGTGGGTAGATGGGATCAGCGGGGGAGGACAATGACCTGGAACTCGAGATGCAAGCACTTGCTAATCATTTACCAGCTACAAGGAAGAGATATGCGTCTGATATTCTTCATATTGGGGCGTATTCAGATTTTCCAGAGTCATTCTCACTTGGGAGAACAGTTCGGAGAATATTAACAAGTATTAGTATCGTGATGTTGTCAACAAAGATTAATTTGTTACTCCCATTTGGACCCTTGTCAATTGTGCTCCATTATCTCACCAAGAAACATGTAAGGATTACTTACTAGTTGCTTCATTTTTTTTCCAATCGACTACTAGTGCCTTCATATCCCCAGCGAATCTTTGAATTTGTATGAAGATAAGAAATGTAACTTCTGGTTATCATTAACTAGCAAATACACAAGCTGATGAAGTTGCAATTACTGTAAGCTTGCATACAATTTAGTGTTGAATAATTTAATTGTGGTCATTTTTGTTGCCTATTTATTGAACTTATTGTTAGTATATTGCTCACAATAGTTTGTTGTTTCACATCTTTTAAAAAAATGTGCTCTGATCCATTATTTGACCAAGTATTTGGTTCTAATTAGATGATCCATAATAGTGTTTCCAAACGGCATTATTTGTTCTCTAATATGGTTATGGGTAGGGAATATGTTGCTTTCTGAGTTAGTTAAAGGTCCACCTGGTCAGTGTTTTGCGTCACGGTGCGGTTGAAATCATTATGCTTGCATTATTTAGGTGTATGCGTACATAGAAGAGATGTGTGGATACATGTATATTTGAAGATATGTGAACTAAAAGTTATGGTGCTAGAAACTTCCATCATTGTTATGTACAATGCAACAATGATATGACATTCAAAAAATAGTGAATAAACTACAAGAAGTGATAACATTATCATAATTCTAATTATTTTTGGTAACCAGTGTTCAAACTACAAGCTTTCAATCCATAAACTGTAAATAAGCTTTTGAGGACTAGTTCTATTAGTGCTACTATTTTGTACTGCATAAAGTTATCACATATTCAAACTGTATTTGGGTATTTTTGAACAATGATGTTTTTTTTAAGAGTAAGAAGATTTTGATAGCTCACATGATGTTTTATTTTTTATATCAGGGATTGGTCTTTTTCTTCAGCTTGATAGGCATAGCACCTTTAGCTGAGCGTTTGGGTTATGCAACTGAGTGAGTTTTGGTCTACGCAAGAAAATTAACTGTGCCGTACTTTTTTTTTCTTTTTTTTCTTTTTTTTTCTTTTTTGGGTTATATTCTGTTGTTACTGTGTCAAGTGACATGCTTCCTTTCTTATTGTGCAGACAACTTGCATTCTACACTGGCCCCACAGGTGTGCTTACTGTAGACATGCATCAGACCATTTTCTTTATCAAACTGAGTGCCTAGATGCCAGCTCATTTTTTTGTAAACGTTTTCTTTTCAACCATGTTTTGTTGTATACCAATACATTATTGAAAATTTGCTGCAGTTGGGGGACTTCTAAATGCTACTTTTGGGAATGCCACTGAAATGATAATCGCGATTTATGCACTGCAAAATGGGATGATTCGTGTCGTCCAACAATCATTACTTGGCTCCATTTTATCAAACATGCTCTTAGTTCTAGGTTGCTCATTCTTCTCTGGTGGGATTGTACATTGCAAGAAAGATCAAGTATTCAACAAGGTTACACTTTTGAGAAATGAAGGAGTTATTTTGCAATTTCATATACTGCTGCTTTTATGCAATGTTTTTGTATAGATGCAACTGAACATAGCAATTTTTTACAACAGGCAACTGCTGTTGTAAACTCAGGATTGCTGCTGATGGCTGTAATGGGGCTAATGTTTCCAGCCGTGCTTCACTTTACACATTCAGAGGTGCAGTATGGAAAGTCGGAGGCTGCATCATGCTCGTGGCTTATGCCAGCTATCTTGTTTTCCAACTGAAGAGTCACCGCAACCTTTATAATCCCATTGATAGTGTAAGTTTGCATGCTTTTGCTATTCAACATTACAATAAGCTAATACTGTTAGGGAGCTATGGTAACAAAGCGTTTCATGTTAGCCTTAGGTTTCCTTTTTATACAAACCTCATTACTGTTAGGGACGCGAACGGATTGGATACCGATCAGTCACATTCGTATCTGCTTATCAATCAGGGATACATATTCGTATTTACATATCAATTAGGGATACGGATATGAATATACCTCGGTTAGAAAAACTCATACCCCTATCCGTCATTTTCAGATACGAATACGGTAAAATAGGCGAAAATATATGCAAATACAAAATGGACATGGGAAAAGCAAATAAGATTTGAAATAGTAGATATCATTTGATATAAGACAGACCATTAATATGTTTGTTATATCTAAAAAGCTAAGACCAGATATCTGGTCATCAAAATTAACCTCAAATATGTTAATCTAATGGTTAAAATAATTACAACAATATGATCGACATATATTCAGATATTCTGTATATGGATCCGGATACTTCACTACATATCCGTATCCGTAACCATATGGCATATAGATTTTAATAACCATATCTGTGTACAAAATGGATACGAATACGGATATATTTGTGGATGCAGATATTCTTTTTGCACCCCTACCTAAAGTAATCTCTTAATGGTAATTGATCAGCAGGACAACGCCTAAAAGTAATCTTTTAAGTTAATCTCTTAATTTTTTGGTATTCGTATGCTTGTTTCGCTTTCATGAAGGAGTCAATTCCAATGTGGATATTGCAAGCGCCTCCCAAGCCTGTACTCGACTGCTTTCCTGCTTTTGGTCATCTTGTTGTTAGCCTTGAGGTTTGAGGTTATATAGATGCATACATGTAATTTGTTATGGAGCTCATCATTGTTTTATATGATCAACAGAGTTACATTTAAAATATTAGTTTTATCCCCGTTCTCTCACTTTTCTTCAAGCTGCGTGCTCACTTTAAGAACGACTACCATTGTTCTTTGCAAAACATTTTTATATAAATGCTCCCTTTGCTTTCTAAGTTTTTTATGTATATTATGCTGGTTTATGTCTTTTAGATGAATTGCTGTGACGAATGAATACACTGATAATTCTCATTTCCCAAAGTTAAAATTGCTAACTCCTTTTATGGTGGATAATTTCTCCATGACATCTTTCTTAAGTTATTATAGATACACATAGATGATGATTCTCATTTCTTTTCAGGAAGATAGACCTAATGAGGATGACTCTGATGAAGAGGAAGTTCCGGAGGTGACTCTATGGGAAGCATTAGTATGGCTTGCTGTTTTGACCATATGGATTTCTGTTCTTTCTGAATACCTGGTTAACGCCATAGAGGTAGTATGTCTGGTTTCATATCCTTGCTTCTATGTCCTAGCTGCCAACTTACAATCAATTTCTATTTATTTAATTTGGATTTTGATTAAGAGCATGGATTCTTCATATTATGGATGAACAGATACCCGTGTATAACCATTAGTTTTGCATTAAATATATTCTATACTAGAAGACTTTGGACACTCTCTGACTGTGAGCATTCTATTTCAGGGAGCTTCTGATTCATTGAACCTGCCTGTGGCATTTATAAGTGTCATTTTACTACCTATTGTTGGAAATGCTGCTGAGCATGCAAGTGCAATCATGTTTGCTATGAAAAATAAGCTTGTGAGTTTTCCCATGTATTTATTTCAACTATATATTTTTTGAACTGGTCATAATATGGTGCAGGTGGATCCACCTTATATACCTCTTACCAACGCAAAGAACCTTTAACGCTATGCTATAATGGCCATGCATCATTTTTTTATTACTTGTACACTTTTTACTTGTACACTTTGTGGACATCTAGGATACCCCAACATGGCCAGTAGGGGGCCGTACCCGTGTCCGACACGTTTCGGGTATGGATCCGCACCCAAATGATGTGGACACGGGAAATTTTCGCTAGCCATGAGTTTTTCTTTTTTTTCTCAAGAAAATTGGCCATGGGTTTTTAAGGTTTGAGGCAGAGCAAAGAGATGAAGAAAATGTTCTCTGTTCTCTCTCTCCCCATCTTTCCTTAATTTTTTAGTGCTTTAGTGGAACATGACATCATGCATCACATAGGGGTATCTCTCTCACGTCTCACCCCCTTTTCTTAATTTTTTTAATTTGTTTAAGTGGAAGATGACATCATGTGCCACATGGGTAAAGTTGGGGCTGTTTAACCATGATACCTCATTAAATTTTGTAATTTTTTGGTAAAAATAGCAGCATGATAGCAGTGGGTACCTTCAAAGAAGTTTTATTTGTTTTCTTTTCTTTTTACCCCTTTTAAAGGACATAGTTCAAATGGGCTTGTTTCATTTGGGAGATTGAGAATGAGTTTGAATACAATGAAAGAACCTAAAAATTAAAGAAAAGGTTGAGACATGAAAGATAATTGTTATATATATAGCTGATATTCCCTTGAAAGTCATTGATCTGCATGAAAATGTAGTAGGTATGTAATTTAATATTGATCTAAAGTGATTTATTTTATATATACACAGCTGTGTCCCCGTACAATACTTTTTACAAATTTGTCGTGTCCCATACCCGTACCTGTACCCCTGTCTATGCAACATAGGTGGACAGAAATACAGATCTATGCTTTTTGACAGACATGATACGATGTTGATACGATGTACAAAATCAACATTCTTGCATGTCCCTATGAATACAAAATTCTTACATTTTTTTATTTGCTTGTAACTTTGTAGTTTTATCTATATGTAAAAGAAATTTAAAGCATAAATCAAAAAAGAAACTTCTTTTATGAAGATATCATGAAAGTGTAAATAGCATCCGCCTTTTTTAACATGAAAAGAGATTGATCACAATCTGCTACGAACTTTGAACGTGATCAAGTTATCTGATTATGTTTTTTATTTTAGGACATAACCTTGGGCGTTGCAATTGGCTCATCTACGCAAATAGCAATGTTTGTGGTAATTCTTTGAGCCTTATTTTCTTTAGTTTCTAATGCAAGAGTGAACCTTGTTTTGAGCCTTCATGAGTTTTTATTTCGCATGCATGAAAAATAGGAGGAATTTTTATTTTGCTATTGTTTCGTTAATGTGAACTAGTGCTTCAATGGTGCAGATTCCCTTCTGTGTGGTTGTTGGTTGGATCATGGGGAAGCCGATGGATTTGAATTTCCAATTATTTGAGACAGCCACTCTCTTCATTACAGTTTTAGTTGTTGCATTTATGTTGCAGGTATGCTCAAGATAACTTTATATTGGTTTTCTAAAATTATATGAAACCACTTTATTTAGAGTTTAGAAGATTATAAATAGCATGAAGTAATCATGATTGTCAAAATATGGACTATGTGTATGCAACGTGAATTTATTCACGCTTGGAAAATTGTTAAAGTCAATGTTCATTCCTCATTGAGAAGTTCTGTGAAGTTTTCATTGAAAACCTTCATCTAATCTTAGCCAACGTTCCAATTAATATGTTTTGCATACAACATGCACATAAAACAGAGGGAAAACAATTAGAACCTAGTGGTTGAGCACTGGCACCACAGGTATTGTCTCTTTCATTTTCTCAAATAAGCAATAATGTTTTCTATTATCTATATAATCTGCTTTAAAATTCTTGTTGTTTCTCATTCTCGTTTTTCAAACGTGTCCAATAACTGTTATGGTTTATTGATAATCTTAAAACGTTTTCTTTTTTCTCCTGCGAAAAGTCATGTTTGATTATCATCTTTCATTAAGGTTTTGCTTCAATAATATTTTAGTCTTCCAACATGTCATGGTATTGTCATCCATCCCATCACCGTGTAAAACCTTTTTCTGACATTGCTCGTTTGTTCTTCAATTGAGTACTGTTAATCTTTCTCCATAAACATGTAACAGAAATCTTGGTAACTTTTTTTGGCTTAGAACTAAATACAACTTGTACTTCCTCTGGTTTACGTACCTGCTTAGCTGATCATTTCTTCTTTGTACGCGCTATTATAATGTTCTATTTTGCTAGGCATACTCTAATCTCAATTTAGCAGCATGAATCACATCTATGCGCAAGCATAAGGTCATGACAGTGTAAAAGAATAAACTAAGGATTGTTCTTTCCCTTTTTGTATTGTTTTTCCATTTCCACCCTCCACAATATTACAATATATTGGCCACTTGGGCATTAAACTTTCAGATCTTTGCAGAGCTGAGTTACTGGTGCCCGTGATATTGATCGCAGATAAAAAGTTGTTTTCTCTTGCATTTAATCCTTTTAATGTATGTTTAATGTATGTTCAATTTCCAGGAAGGCACAGCAAACTATCTGAAGGGGCTAATGCTTATTCTATGCTATCTCATAGTAGCAGCCAGTTTTTTCGTGCATGTGGATCCTACAACCAGTAAGTCGTTAGATAACTCGATTTAAGATGTGTGCATATCTGGACCTATAGAGAGCAACTTCTTTGCTGTCAAATTCTCCCAAAGAATTCGAAGTAATAACTCGATATAATTCTGCATTTAGCTTGCGGAATACCTTCCCTCTTTTAAGTACTTCACTACAAGTTGAAGTTTGACTCCTTTTTTTCCCCAATGGA